GTCCCAGGTGGCTCACAAACAGGCCAGCAGGCAGGTAAGTGGCTGCTGCCTGGTGGGGGAGGGTGCAAGGGGGTGCATGAGGGTGCACAGTGACACTCGGGGAGAGTGTGTGAGGGTGCAAGGGAGGCGTGGAGAGGATCAGGGAAGGTGCAAGGGGTGCATGAGTGGCAGGGAAGACATGGTGAGGGTCGGGGAGTGGCTGGGGCAATGCGAGCAGAGAGGGGCTGGGTGAGGGTGTGCGGGTAGGGAGACTTACCCTGGCAACTTGTGGTCTTCCCTTGACTTGCACATTTCTGTCAAGGTTACCTTCCTTACCCTCTGTACCAACCCCCCCCTCATTAGACTCTGTCCCCCCTCCCATGTGCCCAAAAAACTCTGGGTCAGGGTCATGGGAACAGACTGCAGATTCACTGCTCTCCTCCTTTATCGGCAACTCCCTTTGATCTCCAAACAAGTCGTGTAATGCAGCTGTGCAATGAGCAGTTACTCCCCCCTACCTTCTTTCTGCTGTTTAGACTGAGTTTCTTCATTCCTTTCTGGCTGTTGCTGCATCATACCCTGCCAGTCTTGCAGCCCCAAAGTAGGAGGAGCTGGGAAAGCTTCCCTCCTCCCTTGTAGTGTCCCCATCTGTCCTGTGGTATCCTCCACTCTGGAAAATGCAAAGTACTGCTCATTTTGGAACATCCAAGTCTCTTGTAATGGTGGCAGCTCACATGGATGGGGCTTCCCTGGGAATTGCAGGTGAAATTAGCATACAACATGTGGGGTGCTGCAGGGTTCCGTGCTCTCCCCCCTCCTATTTATCATCTACACGAGGCTGCTGGGTGAGCTCATCCGGCGCCATGGGATGAGGTATCATCAGTGTGCTGATACCCAATTATACATCTCTGCCCCTGGAGAATTTAGCGATACTGTGAATGTCTTATCCCGGTGCCTGGAGGCTGTGAGGGTCTGGATGGGGAACAGCCTTCAACTGAACCCTGGCAAGACCGAGTGGCTTTGGGTTTTGGGGCCTTCTGGTACTAGGGCTATGCCATCTTTGGTACTTAATGGGGTTGCACTGCCCCAGACAGACCCTGTGTGCAATCTGGGGGTCCTTCTGGACTCATGACTCCTGCTCAAAGAGCAAGTGGCAGTTGTGGCTAGGAGGGCCTTTGCACAGCTTCATGTTCTGCACCCATTGGGCCCATTTCCCGATCAGGAGGACCCAATCACTGTTACTCATGCCCCTGGCACCTCCCATT